ATTTTGCTGCTTCTAAATTGAAATCAGTTTATAAAGAAGATTATATGATTGTTAACACTGAATGGGGAGGATTACAATTTCCAGAACTTGGACTCAACAGATTTGATGATATGATTAATGATGTTAGCGTTAATAAAGATCAACAACGATATGAAAAGATGATTTCAGGTATTTACATGGGATGGTTAGCAAGATTAGCTATTAGAGAATTAATTGAGAAAAAAGTTATTTTTGAACGATATGCTGATGCTGAAGTTTTTTCTAATTCACCAGATGACACTCAATTTAATGATAAAAAGAAATATTCATCAAGACATACTGAAATCGTTGAAGACACTTCTCCTGAACTTTCTCGTGTTGATACCATTTTAAAGTCACTTGGAGTTAATGATTCTACTTTAGAAGAAAGAAAGATCCTTAAGGCTATAACTGAGGCAGTTGTTAAAAGAGCTGCTTATCTTTCTGCAGCTGCAACAGTTGCCTTATACCGTAAGATGGTTCCATATATGAAAGAAAGAACTACTGCTGGTATTGATGGTACTGTTTATGAAAAGTCTGTTCCATTTAAGAGATTCTATCTTGAAGCAATCCGTCTTTTACAACCAAAAGAAAACTTTACTTGTCAGTTATCTAAAGATGGATCTGGACTTGGTGCTGTCATTGTTGCTGCTGCTGTTGCATGTAAACACTAATTGACAACTAAAAAAGAATTTCGTATTATTTATGTTTTTGAATAAAAAGAGGAACTTGGAAAAACATAAACGTCTATAATGGCAGGAAGGTATGATAGGTCTCGTTCAAGAGAACGTAGGTATGATAGAGATAGTAGAAGCGTTAGTAGGCACCGAAGAAGTGATTATAGAAGTAGTGATTATTCAAGAGAAAGAGATGATAGAAGAAGGTATTATGATAGGTATGACAGAAGAGAATATAGTCCAAGAGATAGGATAAGGTATAAATCAAGTAGAAGAAGAACAAGGAGGGAATATAGTCGTAATGAAGACAGAGAAGACAGACATAGAAGAGTACCTGAAGAAGAACGTTATAATCGAAGCATTAGAAGAAGAGCAGATAGATCTCCATCTTTATCACCACTTGGAGATAAACTTCCTTCAAGATGGGACGAACAGCCAAAAGCTATTGACTCTGTTCAAATATCTCAACAATTAAATGTACACCAAGAACGAGCAGCTAAAAGAATTTATGTTGGTAATATTAATTCTTCTACATCAGAAAAAGATATTGTTGATGCATTTAATGAAGCAATGAGAAGAGGAGATTATGTAGATAAAAATGATACCCGTGATATTATTACTCACATAGAAGTAAATTATGAAAGGTCATATGCATTTCTTGAATTTAGAACATTAGAAGAAGCAGTTAAAGCATTGTCTCTGGATGGTTTAACAATTAAAGGAGCATCAGTTAAAGTGCGTAGACCAAAAGATTATAATCCTGTTTTACCATTTATTAGTGGTCTTTCTCAATTAATGGAACCAGGAACAACAAATCCCAGAGAATCTATTTTATATATGGGTAATATTCCATTACAAATGACTGATGAACAAATACGCAAGAAATTAGAGAATTTAAATCCATTAAAAAATTTCTTTGTTATAAGAGACCCTGACCTTGGAGCACCACAAGGAAAATGTTATTGTTTATTTGAATATCAAAACCCTGAATATAAAGAGAAAATTCTAACATTTGATGGAATCAATTTAGGTGGAAATAAAATTGAAGTGTGTAGTGGAGTAGATGGATTTAAGCACCTACCAAAAGCTTCTTTAAATGAACTATTTTCAAAGATGTTTCCTCATACTACTGATTTAGTAATTGGAACCTTATTAAATTCATCTGTTGGATATTCTACTGTGTTTGAGAAAATATTAAAACCATCAGAAAAGATAGAAGACCAACATGTCAGTAGAATTATTATCATATTTAATATGGTATATCCAGAAGACCTTACCGACCAACAACGATATATTGAATTAATTGATGACATTAGATTTGTATGTCAGGAATATGGAGAGGTTGAGAGTATTAGTATTCCAAGACCAACTGAAGAAAATAAAAAACCAAGTGGTCTTGGAAGGGTCTTTATTGAATTCAAAACTATTGAAGGAGCAATTAAATGTTGGAAAGAAATAATAAAAAAAAGATATGACAATAGATCATTATTAGTTGGGTTTTATAGTGAAAAGAAATATGCAAATAGAATGTTTGGATACATGGAAGAAGAAAAAGATGAAGAAGAAGAGAAAGATACTCGAATGGAAGAAGCTCCTAATGAATTATCTCAAAACACAACAACAGAAATAAAAGAAAATGATAATCAAAATATAGCCATAACAAAAGAATTACCAAATCCATCACTTCAAAATGAAATGAGAGAAAACATTCATCAAAATGAAAATGGTCAAGAAGAAAAAATAAAAGAAGAAACAAAAGAAAATAACAATCAACCCAATGACTTGAAAGAAATTAAAATTGAAGAAGAAATAAATCCTCAAAATAATATTCAAGAAACTAAAATGGAAGAGGAAAAAACAGAGACTAAAAATCAACATGAAGTTACAAACGAAAACTTACTAAACTCATTACCCCAAAATGAAATAATGGAGACTGTCAATCAAAAAGATATTATTACTCAAGAACCAACTAAAGACTGTGATGGTCAAAATAATATTACCTATGATAATAAAATAGAAAAACAAATACAAAACAATGAAATAAGAGAAGTCTTAAATGTACCAGCTCAAAACGAAATAAAAGAATGTAATTATGAAAGCATTGATTTGGAACAGAGTATAATGGAAGAAGAAGTTCCAAACGTACTAACTCAA